ATGTTCAAGTACACCCTGAGTGCACTTCAGCATTCAAATGAGCAAATCTCTCAAACACCTATTCAGCTGTTTGGCATACACTTCTGACAATTGGCAGAGCATTTATTGGAATCACAGGACATCCCAGATTCATAGCCTGCCTTGTAAAAGTGATTTGCTTCCTTTTTATTTCATGAATGGCTCAAGCCTTCTGCATCTCATCGAGTAGTTAACTTTTATTTCTGGATAACCACAGAGTTAACATAATGTTCATTGCTAAATTGCTGTCTTTACTCTAGAAGATACTTAAATTAAAAAATAATAGATACTTCTGTACATCAGTATAGGAACCATGCTATCTTTTACACCATTAGAAGAGAACACATTAGCATTTTTAGATTAACAAATCAAAACCCATTTAAAATGCTCTGACGCACACTGTTCTATTCCTATAGTGCTATTGCTATGTTTAGGATCAATATAATCCACATATGACTTTATATCAGATTACAAGCATTACTCATACGTGGTAGGATTGAGGATGGAATCATTACACAAATGACAACTTAATTTAAGCAGAAAATTCATATCCTATAATTACCTCAAGCAGTGTTGCATAAATATAACTCTAAATTTCAACATCGATTCATCCTGGTTTAAAAAAAAAAAAAACTTGGGAAGGACAGAGATTTCTACACTTAAAAAAATCATAACTTTCTAGAAAGTAGAGTTGTATGTGAAGTGAAATGCAGAATATATCCAGGGACTATTGTAGCTCCTAGATGAAGGTATCTGGTGGGGACTATGCAGAGGTGTACTGAACTAACAGTAGCTCCCGGAGAAACAATTTACCCACATCTCCATATCACGCAGGGGGGAAATGGAAGACCTTCATAAATTCCCTCCATGTCCTACATCCCAAAATGAAGTTTTCTTCTTTGATCAATGTTACAGTGTTGATTCATATTTAGCAGTGATCCTCTATAACTTCCAAGTCCTTTCTTGCAATAATGCTTCATAATCATTTTCCCATTTTTTGTTTGCACATTCAATTGTGAAATCCTAGGGATGTGTGGAAAGAGCATTCACATGTCATAGATTATAAAGCTAGAAGGGACCACTTGTGAATATCTAGTCTGACTTCCTGTATAAAACTGGCCACAGAATTTCCCATGCACCATTAGACCATTTCTGTTAAAAAGTAAAATCTGATTTTGGTTTAGAATTGTCTGTCGATGGAGAATCCACCACATTCCTTGGCAAAGTGTTAAGAATGTGTGTCTTATTAATAATTTAAATTTGTCTTGCTTCATCTTCCGGCTATGGTATCTTGTTATGCCTTTGCCTACTACAATAAAGAGCCCTCTAATATTAAATATTTTTTATGTCGGAATAAAATCATCTCATAACCTTCTACAGTACAGTATTTAGAAAAATAAATAGATTGAACTCCTTGAGTCTATGTTTTCAAATTTTTAAAATAATTCTTGTTGCTCTTCTGAACTATCTCCGTTTTTTCAACATAAATCCTGATTGTCTTATTGGCACTTGAAATGGACAGCATACTCCAGTAGTGGCTGCACCAATGCCAGATACAAGGGTAAAATATTCTTGACTCTACTCAATATGTCCCTTTTTATACATCCAAAGATTGCATTAGCCATTTTGGCCATCACCTTCACACTGGGACCCATGTTACATTCACTCAATGTCCTCTTGGCAGGAAGAAAACTGAA